ATAGAGAGTAGGAGGTTCTTGCAGGCTAGCCTGGGCTACATTGTCTCAAACAGGAAGAAAAAAAAAAAAAAAGAACGAGGGTCCACCAAGATTAACAACCAAGTGACAGGAAGAGTCAGTGATGAAGAGAATCAGAACTCAGACATCCCTATTCCAAGTTCAGCAGTCTCTACTCAGACCTGAATGATTAGCGGTTGGAACACAAACAGGCATAAGGTGAAATGACTGAATGAATTCTGTACTTGACACACCAGTGTAGGGGGGAGGGAGTGCTTACGTTGGTTTTGAATCTAATAGTAAACAGGAACTGAAAGGGTAAAACAAAGACATGAACAGTTCAGTCTACTTGATGCCTGGAATCAACTATGCTCTGTATTCTACCATAGCATCCTGTATTCTACCGTAACATCTGTTTCTAAAAAGTTCTTTTGAATGGAGTAACAGTGTAAAGAGCAGTACTGTGTAGGCTTTTAACTTAGAATCAACAGTTACATTGCTTTAGTTTTTATTTTTGTTTTTAAAACACTACTTGGTTCACAGTCCTCTTTCATTCCTTAAACAATGGGCCACGGTGTCAACTATGTGTCACAAGTTGCCTAACGTGTGTGTTCCGAGAATCCACATGGCTGATGCACTTACAGTACTGCTACACTTCTAAAGCAAGCACAGGGTGCTGAGGGAACCAGCCACTACCCATGAGGCTGTGCTCTACTTTTCCTTTAGGGATGGGGGTTTTGCCTGCATGCCTGGTGTCTGCACAGACCAGAAGAGGCCATTAGGCCCTTGAAACTGGAGTTAAAGATTATTGCGAGCCATCAAGTGCTAGGAACCAAATCCAGTCCTCTAGAAGACCAGCAGCCCTTACTCTTAACCACTCAGCCATCTTTCTAGCCCCAACACTTCAAAGACCAGAAACCAAACCAAACAAAACCAAAAACTAAAGAAAACTGTGCGTGTGTGCATGTGTATGTGCCTAAGTATATGTGTAGCATACAGTTTAGGTACCTCTGAAGGCCAAGTGAGCGTCAGAGCCCCTGAAATTGTATTTAAAGAGGACTGTGAGCAGCCCCAGGTGGGTAAGGAAATGAACCTGGATCCTCTGCAACAGCAGCCAGTACTCTTAAATCCTGAGCTAGTCTCTAGCCCCTAACCTGTGTCTTTTTATATTTCATATGCATTATCAGTCCGTAGGTGGCATGGTGACCCGGCCTGCAACCTTTGCACTCGGAAGGCTGACACGGAGGACTGCAAATGAGGCCAGCTGACGCAAAGAATGAAAATAAGCAGGGGCTGGAGAGCATCCAGGTTCGGTTCCCAGTACCAACGGTGGCTCGCCATCATCTCGCCATCATCCACGACTCCAGTTTCAGGGGATTGGCACCGTCTTCTGGCCTCCTCAAGCAACGGGCATGCATGTAGTACACAAGCATATATGTAGGCAAAACACCCATACGCATAAAAACAAATTTTAATTACAATTTTTAAAAAAAGGTAAAAATTGTGACTTTGCTAACAAAGGACAGATGTGAAGTAGTTTCTGCACATGGCTGAAGTTGCTATCAGTTTCAAACAGAATGTTACCATCAGTGTTTTATACAACTCCTTTGATAACTGCAAAGAAAATGCCTACAGAAGGAACACCCCCTCACACACACAGAGTCAACAAAACAGGGACAATACAAGATATAAAACAATACTTCTATAAAAATTGAAGATTCCTGACTAAATGACAATGGGTCTTTAAAATCTAATTATATGCTCTATACAAGACTCATGTATATGACTATCAAGATCCATCTTACCACGTAGCCTAACTGGCCTGTGACTCACTGTGTAGACCCAGCTGGCTTTGACCTTGGGGCGATCCTCTTGCCTCTGCCTTCCAAGTGATGGAATTACAGGCAGGTCCCATCAACATGCCTAGCATTCCAAGACTCATTTTAAATGTAAGAACTAGGGTTGGGGATGTAGTTCAAATACACTTGCTTCATAGGCACCTAGACCCTGGGTTCAATCCTCAGTATTACTTAAAATAGGTATGGTGGCTCATGTCTGTAACACCAACACCTGGGAAGCAGAGGCAGGAAGATCAGAAGTTCAAGGCCAGCCTGGCTGAGGCTACTTGAAATCCTGTCTCAAAAAAGAAAACAAACAAACAAACAAACAAATAAATAAAACAAGAAATACCCAGCCTGGATCCCCACAAACCAAGCATGTTTTATATAGTTTCCAAATAGTTATCTATCATCCTCTTCCTCTGATGGCTTTAAAAGGTCAAATTGTTAATAAAAATCCAACCACTACTGATGCTAAGTTGACATTCAGGAGCAAGTTTCCCAGGCAGAAAGAAACCCTTGGCTTCCCTCAGATGGGAGCATTTTACTTATTTATAGACATGTGCTCATGAAGGCCAGGTCCTTCCACTCTGGATCCTCCTGCCACCACCTACTGAACACTGGGCCTGGCATATGCCACCATGCCTAGCTTCCCAGTAAATGGCCTCTGTAAGGGTCATTTACTGAGGAGAGTAGATACAGGTTTCTCTGCAAGGTTCAATGCTTCCCCAGGCTGTAAGAGCTTTGAGACACAAAGGATTATCCCATTTGAATGTGAAAGCATACCAGCGAAGCTTCTGTACAGACAAACCACCTTTCTCCCCAGCCTCTAAGAGTATTTCTATTAGGGACAACTAAGCTTTTGTCACTGTGCTATTATCTTCTATAAATGTTGGGCACATTCCCAGCATCCTGGGACCTGTGCTCAGGCTGCAGGCTGGTGCTACCTTTCCTTCGGAAGAGTCAAACAAGAGCCGTACCTGCCGTCGTCCATCTTGTCTGTTTCCTTCAAACAGGGTAACTGGAGATACAGGCTTTAGCAATATAAAACAGATGAACCAAACTCTAAAAGACTGAGACTCGGCATGCTACATTTAACCTAATTTTATTCATGCTTGCCTAGGGATGGGAAATAGATCATCCAATAAAAACATACAGTAAAAACAGGGGGGGGGGCGCAGAGGAGGGAGGCTTATCATGTACAATGTTTAAACTACAATAATGATGTACCTTAATTACTTCCATGCACACAAGTCTAACATTACAAGTTTTTAAAAAATAAACACAATTAAGACTTCTAGGAGCATTTTATAATAAATTCCTAATTTTTCTTTGTAGATAGATCAAGCACCTCCAAAATACAGATTCCTATACACAGTGAGTACTTTACTTAACGTACATGGACAGCCTCAGGGCAAGCTGACGTCATCAGCTTGGCAGGCAACAAACCATAGTGCCAAATGGAAAAAAGGGCAGTTGCAAATAAACTTAAAACTAAGTTAACTTTTATAATTAAATACAGAAAATATACTGATTCGCTAAAAATAAATAAGATGTGATGTATTTAACACTCACTATTAAGAATGAATACCAGGACATTTATAAACGGTGAACGGGTCTCAATAGTTTACTACGATAAACGCTGGCTGGATAGAAGTGCAGATGCCGTGGAGCACTATGGGTGGTTTATGTTTCGCCACATACTTTTGTTACCTTGAGGTAGATAACACATGTGTACCAAATTCGGCATTCGTTTTCAGTTGCTGCTGGTATCATGTGTCTTAAGAAATGTGTACAGTATGAAAAACTTGAAAATACTAATGAATGAAAAATGTTTCAGGAAAAAAATAGATCTTTTCATGCAATTATGTACAGTCTCACTGTGTAAGTTTCAAGGCAAGGTTTTGTTTCCCGTAAAGCAGGTCACTGGTCTATGAGAATGTCTGTTCACCCTAGCGCATCTCGTCTCCTCCTGCACTGCATTGTTTTGCTCTATTCTTTGTGTGTATGTGTGCAAATGACATGCCAGTTCAAATGAAAACTAACTCACATGTAGAAAAAGTCTGCATTTTACAAACTGAGAACTAAGAAAACTCCTTGCAAATTAATGACACCTTCTGATTCAAGTAAAAAACTGACTTAGAACATTAGTGATAAAAAAAGACAACACATCTCATGAAGAACAAAGAGAAATGTCTGCTGAGTGTTTAGTTCAGATGTTTCAGAATGCTGCTGTATGTCTTGTGAGGGATTTGAGGGGAAGATTTCATAGCGGAAGGTGTTAACGTGGCCTGGATGGACTTGAGTGGGGACCCCACTGGACTGTGGAACTGCGGAGTGCCTATGGACTCTAGCTGCTTGCTCAGGAGGATCTCCCCACTGCC